GGAATAAAGTTTAAACATTAATATTTCAAAAACTACAAGTTGTACAGGCACCAGAAGGCATAGCAATCATTTGGCACAAGACCTTCACAGATGGAAATTACAATGGCAGCTGTAGGACAAAGTATGCAGGAGGAGTAGCGTGGTGACGTGGAAGAAGACGGAATAAGTTGAATAATAAAGAGAAACAGGAAAACAATTGTGTGCATAGCATTGGCAATGCACACTGATAATAATAAAGAGAAACAGGAGAACAATTGTGTGCATAGCATTGGCAATGCACACTGATAATAATAAAGAGAAACAGGAAAACAATTGTGTGCATAGCATTGGCAATGCACACTGATAATAATAAAACCATTGATAGAAACAGCTACTGATTCTACTCTCTCTGTAATGTAGCTGTCTTTTATTTGGCTAATGTCTGTCAAAGCCATGTTACTTTAAATATAACTTTTTGATCATTTTAAAAATGTTTTGGTGCTAAAAACGTTGTTAATCTTAAACTGACACCAGAGTCTATATTTCCATTCAGAGTCGATAAGAAGTTGTTTCCAACAACAAAGGAGCAGCTCTTGACATTTTTCACCAAAGCTATTCCTAATTGGAGGAAAGAAATGACCACACAGCTACAGAAAACAGGCCGTTCTGTTTCTAACCTTTGATCTTGTTGGAGACGTGCTCCTTGGACGTGATGATCTGGTCCATGTCCGTTCGGATGGAGGYTTCTAGTGAGGAGCGCGTTGCTTCACACGTGTGCAGCATGGCCTCATACTGAGCCTGGCATTGGGTCTGCACCAGGCTGTACACCACATCACTGATCTGCACAAACAAGTCACAGCTTAGCTGCTTGTTCTCATCTGAAACCTTCACTTACATTATACTGCATGATTCACAAATACAAATACTTTTAAAGAGTAACTTACCCCAAAATTAACTTTTTTAGCTGATAAACTGTCTAGAATGTGTCTAAAATGTTATATAGTACTGTTTCTGTGCTAATTTTGATGTTTTTGTGCGTATTTGTTCAAATCTGTAATAGCTAGGCGTTCCAGTGTGTAGCCAGGTTGCGTCATTGCGTCATCGAAGACGCAGCGTCTTCCATATATGGGCATACTTCCGGGAACGGCGGAGCTGCTCCGCTTGGGTGTTTCCCACGTGTGATGGGTCGTGGGAAACATATATGGAAGACGCTGGTCGCTGTGAAAAACGTATCAGTGGTTGCTAGAAAACATTCACACACACACACACACACACAC